GACTAAAGATTTAGTATGTTCAGTAAGAGAGTCTAAATCAAAGCTTTTGTTGAAAAAGTCAAATATTTAGCATTTTGAGAGATCACAATTAATGTTAATGTCCATATTCACAACCAAGTACCAAGAATTAAAATTAAAAGTTAACAAGTAAGTATTCATGTATTAAAAATAAAGTGAATGATGATTGGTTAACTTCTAACTGTAATTCTTAATCTTTGGTTGTGAATGGTCTTAAATGTATCAGATATAACTATCTGAACAAATGATACATACCACACTTACTGTCTGACCTGCATTTAATAGGCTGTATTCATTGCAAAGGTACAGTACATGAAAAATAAATACAGTAGAAGTCCAATTATCCAAATTGATTTGTCCTGCAGGTGATTTGGATAAGTGGATTAACACATAAAGAATGAAATTGCAGGGTAACAGCATGGTATTATACACACAGTATATTTATTTATCAATGTGCAATTAGTGTCCTACTGATTATTTGGATCTGCCACAGCAAATAGGTGTCACTGATGATGCAGTCACATGACATTGAGAATTGATGTGTGACGACAGTGGGAGAGAAAAAGGAGTGCAAGCAATGGTTTGGATAATTGAACATTTAGATAATCAGAGTTCTGCTGTAACTTAATTATTACTTAGATCACTTGACAATATAAAACATTCTTTATGATGATAGAAATATAAAAAAAAAAAATTGAGAGCTATTTTCAGTAAGAGACGAAGTTATATACAAAGATCATACCAAAAGTAATGAGCAAAAGTTTTTTATCCTCAAGTTTGCAAGAATTATTACTGTTTGGTAGGTGTTGTTTCTCTTGTGATATAACTATATGATATCCTGATGTCAATAGCTTGCATATTGTGACCACACGAATGCTGAACAAGTTGGAATACAGCAATGTTGTGTTTCATCATTGTGCTGAAATCTCCAATGCAGAAATTCACCAGAGACTTTAGCATTCACATGGAAATGATTGCATGGGTACCAGCTATGTTAGATAAGTGAAATATTTTAAAGATGAAAGCACAGATAAATATCCAAGCCTTAGTGGTTTGCTCTTGAACAGCCACAACAGAATGCAGCAAGGTGAGTTGATAAGATTATTTGGGAAAAAAGGCATGTGACTGTGGAAGAGGAAATACTTGGAATAGGGCACCATGCAGTTTGGGAGATGAATAAAAACTTAGGCTACAGGAAAGTGTGCTTGTTGGGTGTTGTGTTTATTGACCAAAGACCTCAGCACAAAACTGTTCCTCAGAACTGATTCAGAGATATCAAAGATGATTTTTTGCTCAATATTGTGGCACATGATAAAAGCTGATTTCACCATTTTCACCAGAAATGAAAACTGCAGAGCATAGAATGGCACTATTTGAATTCTCCAACAAAAAAAGAAGCCAAGACAGTGCCACCAGCAGCAAAGATCATGGGCACAATCTTTGGAGATGCAGAAGGTTCTTTTGGTTGTTTTTCTAGAACCTAGGCAAACAAACAATGCTGATTATGTCCAGACACTGCTTTGCAATGTGCATCAGCACTTGGCAATGTCCTGGAAGAAAGATAATCTAGCAATGCTTGGCTCTACACTGCTTGCTGCACATCAGAAAAATTGAATTGAAATCTCTTCAATTTTTCTGATGTGTAGCAAGAGTGATTTTTCTGATTTGAGCTATTGATTTATTTATGTGGTATTAATATGCAAGCTATTGAATATTTTTCTGATTTTTCTGAATTCTGAGAGAAGATTTTTCTGATGTGCAGGAGAAGTTCTTCCACACTTCTCCTGCAGTCCTGATCTATCACCCTCAGACTACCATCTAGGTGGATTTGTGAAGGATCAAATGTGAAGCCAACTTTATGAGATAATAGTGGCAATTGAGAAAGCAGTGTGTCAGTGCTTTCATAGGGATGGAACAGCGTTCTACCACAGGAGATATTCAAACCTGCTGAACATTGGGAAAGATGTGTTCAAATAAGTTGATTATATCAGAAAGTAAACAGAAGTCTACAGTTTAAGAAGGTATACTTCAAATTTTAATGAAACAAAATAACAGTTTATAAAAATTTGTTGCTTATTACTTTTGATATGACCTGTGTATTTTGTTGGAATTGCAGACATTATTATTTAATGAAACCATTGTAACTGAGATATTGCATTCATTAAACAAGTTATGATTGACAATTGTTGAAAATGCTCAGCATTGATGAATAAAAATATGTACAGTAGGATCTTGTCAGAAGCAACCAATATGTTCCAGATTCCTTGTGTAAACAGAAATTTGCATAAAATAGTGAACTCCATTAATTATTGTTATTTCCTGTATTAACATACCTATCACACACTTTTTAATATAAATAAGGCAAGTAAACATTTTATTAACAATAAATAGCATGATACTATAAATTATAATTTGAAAAACTTCAATATTTTCTCATTCTCTATGTCTGTTGTATTTAGCTTCCTGCTTCAGAATCATCTTGCATGATGATGATGACTATACAAGCATAATGCTTAAATGAGCATATGTCTGGATGATTGTGGATGCATAACTATACTACAGTAATAATAGGTGACTTGCATCCTTCTGATAATGTCAGAAGTATCATCAGCTTCAGACAACTCAGGCTCATTGGTTGACCATCTTGATGATGGTTTAACAGTAGAGGAGAGCAGTGGCTGTATGTTGAGTGGAGGATGCAAAAGTTCTAGATTCTCTAATCTTTTTACACCTTTTGAAGATCATCTTCATCAGTAGCTGTTTTTTTCTTCAGTTCATTGATGACTTGCTGCAGAGGCTGCCATGTTTTTGGTTATTGTCCTGATGACTTCAATGGCTTGCTCCATCCTAGAATAATAATCTATTACTGTATCTTTCAAATGCTGTGTCATTCTGTGAACACTTTTTTGCACATTTCTCTAATTCCAAATTTGTGGTGTGTCCCTTTTACAACTTGACAAGTTGTTTTAACTCTTTAGGTGTTAATTTATCACAATGCTCTTTTATGTGAGTTTTCATTTCTTTGGTCAGCATATTTTCCATGCTGTCTTCATCAATTTGGCTCAAGGCTTCTATAATTTTGACCTCATCATCAATGATAAGATCTTTTTTTGAATTCATTCATATCAATCCATAAGAGTTTCCAACAAGCATTTTTTCAGTTTTTAATTCATCCATTGCAGTTTTGAAGAAGGTTATTACATCTGCATATTGCAATGGTGAAGGACTTCTAGCACTGCATTAACTCAACATTAAGGTCTGCATCAATTGCTGAGAAAATCTGATCATAAACTAGGCATGTACCACATATAGCCGTGATACAGCAAATATTGTCCTAGTATAATGGCTGAAGCAGTAACATTATGTTTGGTAAAAATAAGACCTGGACATTTGTCCCTCAAGGCAGATTCTGGATGATGAAGTGTATTGTCAATGATTAAAAGGACTCTGAATGGTAGCTCTTCTTTCTCCAAATATTTTTCATCCTGGATGAAGCATTGATGGAACCATTTTGTAAAGAGAACTACCATAAGACATGCTTTTTGGTTTTGTTGCTAAAACATGGGCAGATAAATTGTTTTTTTCTTGAGTGTGAGAATGTTTTGCTAAGTACACCATGCCTGGCTTTATAATGTGATCTGAAGCATTGTCATACAATACCAATCAGCCTGTTTGTAAGTGTTTTATCCTGGTGCCTACTTTGCAGTTTTGTGAATGTAGATTCTGCTGTGCATTTTTTACTTAAAATGCCCAGTTTTGTGATACCTTCTTCAATGATTTCCTTTAAATGTTGAGGAAACATGGCAACATTAGGCCATTGATAGGAACATGACTTTTCATCATGTCTTCTACCCATCTTTTCAATACTTTTTCCATTCGTTGTTATGGTTTTATCATTCACTATATATATATGACTCCTGAAACTTCAGCAGTTTCAGGAGCCATTGAAACCTTTTATGTATATATTTTTTTTTTCCTAGTATGTACAGTACAGCATGTATGAAAGATTTCTTCTCTAACGTTCTTGCAACATTGGAAGTAGACTTTCTTTTCTCACTAAATCTAAAATTTTAATTTTTTCCTCTAAAGTAGGTACTTTATAGCTTTTCTTTGGCTTATCAGAGCTACCAGCATTACTGTCGTAGCATTTTGAAGTCTGTTTTGAAAAGTAATTAGTGAAAGTGAAACAAAGAGAAGCACTGATATTATGTGAACATAATGTGCTACAAGCAAGAATTGTTGATAAAGACTGATATTGGTTCCAAGCTTCCATTTGTTTTATGCAAAACAGATATGTCATAGTAATGCTTTTCAAGAACAATAACAACTGATTATGATGCTGAAAGACTTCAAGCACCTTGGTAAATGGATTGGATTTAACATGCAATTAAGAATTTTTATTTTACAAATATTCTAGTTTTTCCTTTTCTCTAAATTTCCATCTTATCTAAAAATCAAAAATTCAAAAATCTAAAACTCTGTAGCAAGGTCCTACTGTGTGTATTTTTTCAACAACATAATGCATATCTGCATGTTATAGTGAAAACTGAGGAAAAATTAAATGAGCTCAATTAGGCAATTGAGTTATATGCTATGTTCTTTAGACTTTACTTTATCAGTTTTTCCATGTCTTTAATTTGCAAATCAAATTCAGAGTTTAATTTTAAGTTGTTCTAAAGTTAAATTAAACATAACTAGGTTTAATTCTAAAGCATATAAAATTTAATTGACTTGACTCAACAGTCAGTTAAGTTGACTATCTTAATCTTTCAGTTAATTTAAACAAATTGTCTAAAAAAATATAATGTTAGCTTAGATTTTATACAGGATTATCAGTATATAAGTAAAATTTTCATAAGTGGTTATAAAAATTATCTTTTATATATCTTAAAATTATTGTAATCATAAATACCTAGTTATTGCATTATTTATATACAGTAACTATCTCATGTTTCTTTAACTTGAACTTTTCATTTTTCCTAGGGGTTCGAGTTATGGAAATTTGACAGTGCAGATGTTGAAATACAAAGTGTTGTTCAATTTCTTTTGGCTACAGGCACAAAACCTGAAATTTCTTATCAAATAACAGAAGTATTAAGTTTAAATTTAATATCAAGATGGTAAGGGGTCAGTTAAATCTTTCATTGTTTTGAAAATCTTATATTGGAGGACAAATATAAAGCTACATTTAGAATTACCAAAAAGATTCTTTAAAATAACCTTTCAGATAACTTAATGATTATAATTTTTTTTTATAATGTAAATTTATAACCTTTTTACCGTTAACATTCTTAATAAAACAAGTGTGTAAATTTTAATGTCACATATCATATGATTCTAATACTAAACTGTCATGTAGACTATTAAAATTAAAATGAATAATATATTTTAAAAATTTAGAAAACAATTAATGTTGGAATAGAATAAAAATTATGCTGATATTTCATATTATAAAATTAGGAAATCAACAAAATATATACGAACTAATTTTTGAATAATGTAATTATTGCATGTATTACTGAAAACATTAACCATATTTATAATAGTCTTATTAGTTAAGTTTTAAAATTCTTACATCAGATTCCAGTCAATGAAATGGCTTGTTTATGACATTACTGATGATGATGATAACAATTTTGATAAGTTTTTTGTTTGATTTGTAAATTTACAATCAAACAAATCAAAACTTGCATACTGAAGGAAATATAATGCTACAGAAATCTTTCTAATTTCAGTGTGTAATAATTTAAAAGTGTTAATTTGATTTTGGATTATTAATGTTCATTGATTTATTTATCTTTCTTATCAGCAATTTCCAGCTATGCACAGTGATTTGCTATTGAGTCTAAATGGCTTATATATCATGCATTATAAGTTTACCATGATTTCACAGTTGTCACTTTGAATATAGTTGTTCAAAATATCTGTTCATTTCATGTCATGTTTGTGTTTAATTCCTTTATAATGTATTAGTTTTTTTTTTTGTTTTGAAAGAAATATCCACAAAAAGTATATTAGAAGATGATAATTGTGAAGTTGTGGAGAGCTTAATATTTTCTAAAGACTTTTTTGTGTATAATGTTAAGAGATAGTAAATTTCTCACATAGATTGTAAATAGCTGATAAAGGAAGAAAAAAAATTGTGTACTTCATAAAATTAACTTAAGATTAATTTATATTATTTTGTAAACTAGAAATTGCTTCAACTGGCTAGATACAATTTAAACTAAGCAGACTTCTGGAGCTTAAGTTTTTCTTGCTTTAAATTACATCATTTATTGGTGAAATTAGATGTGGATTGTTATAATTTTTTTTGGGGAATTTGAATATTAGAACTTTTTGTTCTTGGAATGTGTTTTAATAATATAGAAAGCTTTTTTCATTTGATGAATATTAAATTTATGATTTTCTGAAGTGGATTTATAGTTTGCTGTTTTTAATTGTAAATAAGTTATTCATCAAAACTTGTTCAATTTTCCTTTAATAAAATTATAAATAAATTTAGAAAGCATCATGTTAAAATCTTAGTTACAATATAAGAACACTTCAACACCATAATTCAGTTAAAGAACAAAAATATTTATTAAAAAACAAATTTTTTCAACCTTTATAAAGGCCATCCTCAGATTCTACTGGTAGAATGGAAAAATCAAACAACAAGATATAGTTTAAAAATGTTCATTGAGTACAAAGTTCATATGCACAGGAGCATAGTAATATATTATAAATTAAAACGAAAACAGAAGAAAAATACAAAGAACATGCTATCATCTTTTGAGAACAATATATTATTGTATTTAAGGTATGTCTACGACATTGTGTTCATTTGGTCTTGTGACCACCCCTACACAACTTCCTGGAGGCCATTAATAACAACCCTTGTGGTCTAACACTATCTCTGGAACAAAGTAATGATAAGCAGGTACATTTTTTTGGATCTCACCATTACTTTGAGTAACAGAGTTCTCACTACAAACATTTTCCGTAAAGCTATATTCAAACAATTCTTCATTCCATCATACTCACATGATCCTTTGAAGTACAAATTGGCTGCCTTCAGAACCTTAATCCATAGAACGTTCACCCACTGTTCTAACAATACCATTAGACAAAGGGAGCTCTAACGCATTTTCTGTATTGCCAAAGCACTTTGATATCAACGCAAGCTTATCAACATGTTTATAAAATATTTTGACAGGCCTACAATGGCAACAACCAACAAGGATACCAAGCTCTTTTGAGGTATCACACATAACCAGCAATTCAGTGGTATCTTCAAGGAGATTGGACAGCAATCTGACATCCAAATTGCATACAAGAGATCTCTCACTGTCTTTTCATTACTTAGGAATGACAAGATCCTCTTGATGAAAAGACTGCCAGGAGTGTACACAATTCCTTTGTGTGACCATAGGCTTGATTGACATATGAATACATAAGCATTATGTTTAGATTTCTCAAGTCAAGACTCAAGTAACACCAGGACTCGATTACTAAAAGAACAGGAGCTATGGCCTTGGCCACCTTTGCATTGAACAGAGATTAGATGTTTATTTTGGTAGAGCTCACCTTCCACATCGAAATGTATTACCATTGCCTCTAAAATATCTTGATTATTGAGATATACAATCCTATCTCTAGAAGAACAGCTATCAATAGCTTGGACATGGTTCCTGGAGGGCAGTATTTGAACACGTTTCTAACTGTATTGACTTTTATAAGCACTTTGGTCTTAGTACATTTATTGCTTTTTATAACTTTTTTTATCTATAGTTTTTAAATTTTTTGTATATTATTTTTCTTATAATTTTGTTTTAATTTATAATATATTACTATGCTCCTGTGCATGCAAACTTCTTATGCAATGAACATTTTTAAACATTTTGTTGTTTGATTCTTTTCATTCTACCATTAGAACCTGAGATGGTCCTTATAAAGGTTCAAAAATATTTATTAAAAATTAAATGTTTTTTTCTGTCTTGGATTATGAATTGTTTTTACGTTGCATACATCCAGTTGGGATAGTGTTTATGCATTAATATGGCTGTGTCAGTCAAACTCTTATTTACAATTTGTTTTGTTATTAAATTAATAAGCTTAACCAAATACATCAAACTTTCCTTCAGATATTATACTTTTCAGTTAAACTTATAACGTAAATAGTCTGATTATAAGTAAGTCATAACTTCTTAAATACTTTTTTCAGCAACAATAATTTATTTAAATGTTTTTGATCACTTTTTATAGGATCACTTGTGTCAGGTTTAATGTATAAACAAGATTTGAACTGTAAGTTCTAATTAATGTTCTAACAGAATTTTAAAATAAATTGAAATATATCAAATTTAATATCCAGTTAAAATATGCAGCTGTTTGCATTGGAAGTCTTATTTCAATTTGTTTTAAAAAGCTGTTAGAACATTAATTAGAACGTAGTTTAAACCTTGTTTGTGTTAAACTTGACACAGACCTATGAAAAGGTGTCAAAAACCTTTAAATAAATTAGTGTTTCTGAAAAAAGTATTTAAGGTGTTGTTCAAATTATATTTATGAAGTTTTTAAATTATTTTTCAGATAATATAATATGCTAAAAAACTGTACAGAAAAAATTTTTCTTTTTGAATTTTTTTAATGATATATGATTTTTAACAATGTAGTGTGATAATCTTTATTCATATTTGTTAGTAGAGAGTATGAAATGAAATATTATATTAAAAAATTATTATTAGTTTATACTTTTATTATAATTATATTTATTGTCTTTACTATATTAAACTAAGGAAATTTCATCAAAATTAATTCTATTTATTAAAACATAAATTTTAATGTTTGAGATAATGTTTAATTACATTTTGTTTGATTACTGTCATTGGCATTACTTATGTATTATCAATTATTAGTTTTAAGTAATTTATACACAGGTTTTTTAAATTTACAATTCACAAAATAAGATATTGTAATTATCCCTTTGTTTAAAAGTGAAAAAATAGCATTACTTGATTATTTGAATATAAGAGATAAAGTATATGCAACCATTTGTGATGTACAATAGTAAGACTAATGACTATTAGAAGATGGCAATTTTTCCTTATCAATTCGCTTGTGCCAACGATAGATCTGACATCTAGCGGTATTAGCGTGAACTACGTAATGGCGGCTGTTATGGGTATAAAGTCTGTGGTCTGTTAGAATTAGAAAGTGTTCAACCTACAATGGCAAATAAGTATTGCTGTGAATTTGGATGTAAGTCTAAAGGTTCATCAAACTCAGTACATATGCGCACATTCCCAAAAAATAAATTGCTGCGAAAAAAGTGGGAAGTAAAACTGAAGTTATCACTTCAGTTTCACCAACACCTAATTTTGCTGAGCTTAAAATTCTTTTATTTTTACAAACGTTTTCACCGTATCTAATATAGGCCATCAGGTTTAATATTATAAATGTTCCAAAATGGAACCTACCATTTTTGAATATTTTACATATTTAAAATTTTTTAAAAATTTAACTTTAAAATAAATTGAAAGAAGTGTGTATATTAAATAAATAAATAAAAAGTAAATAAACAAATAAAACATAGAAACCAAGCTAACTAGAAAGAAACATGATTTAAGGGTTTCTAAGTCCCATTCTTTTTTCTATTATATATTTCCATACTGTTGGAAGTGCATTAGCATCCCTAGCATTTAGGCAACAGTTTTTTATTTTACTTTTATAAATTTCCACCTTTTCCATCTCCAGTGCAATGGATGGAGAGTGCACCGTTTTAATGACTAGCCTCTTCCCATTTTACAATCGTTCCTTCAATCTGTGCCATAACTGCTAATGTTGTGTTGTGTTTGTCAACATTGTATCTATGTTCTTTCATACATACTGTCAGGTTTCTTCTAGTCACACCCACATAATCTTTTTGATTCCTAACTGTTGATTTTCAAATGATATTTTATATACCCCAGCTTTCTCTTCCTTTTTTACACTATCTTTATCGTTCCATAGCAAGCTATAGACAATGGGTGCTCTTTTTCTTATAAAAACTTGAGAATGGTTTATAAAAGAGCTCCCAATATCTATAGCTTGCTATGGTACAATAAAAATAGCGTAAAAAAGGAAGAGAAAGCTGGGG